GACATAAAATTGTTTAGCCTCAATAACTAGCACATCTTACTAGAAAAAAAGGATGGAATAATATTTATTTTATTAGGTATATTGTTTTCATGTAACTTTAATATAAATTTTAGCCTAGACCCTCTGGCTCTCTCAGAGGACATGAAGAGATGCTACTTTTAATTCCCTACTGAATTCTTAGGAATTCATTTAGTAAATATTCTATTCCAGTCTACTAGACAGCATGAAAGCAGCTAAATAATTTGGAAAGGAGTCAAAAATGAAGTTTAAGGACAAAAATATCTGCACCAGAAAGTGATTAGTAGTGTTAGCAGTTGGTAGATCTGGGAGTTTAGGTTTTATTTAAGAGATCCCAAGAAATTTTTTCTAAACAAGTTTTCCCATCTCTTTCATCCTAGCTCAACAATGAGGCGTTTTTCTGAATAGGCCAATCTTTTTTCTTAAGCTAGTTCCCTTATCACATACCACACTTAGTCCTAGAACATTTACTAATTTGTATTTTTCTCCAATTTTTTGTATATCTTAGTTCAATTTTCATGTACCCCAATTATATTGTAAACTTACACTTTTCTGTATACTCACTAGGATCAAAGAGGGTACATAGTATCAATGTGGAGCTCACTTTGATTAAATGAGCCTATATAGAATCAGTGCAGGTATAGAGGCTTAATTTTTAAAAAGATAAATTGATAGAAAATTAAGGCCAATAATAAGAAACAAAAGCTTTTATGAGGAAAATGAAATATTTATTGCAGAGCCCTGAATATTTTTAACTTACATTTCTGATTGTCACTTCCACAAATCATATTTTTATTACACTAGCATGAGAAGGCTGGTAAAAACTTTACAGGCTATTAAAATGAAAACTTTCAAAAGTAGATAATTTAAACTTTTCATATGGGTTAGAATTATCTTATAAGAGTTTTAACAATAACAACCCTACTCCACCCTAGGACTTAAAGGAAAGGCAAGTCATTCACTGTGACGTGTGCTTCTGTCTGTCTGGTTTGCTATGAGCTATACCTGGAATTTTGAACTGAAATTCCCCATATTAAGAAACTGCTGCGCTGCTGCCTCCACTCGGATCTCAAAGGAGTAGTGACTACTTGGCAAATCTTGTTTCAGTTATCTACTGCTGTGTAACAAACCACCCTAAAACATACACCCTTTTACTTCTCTTGACTCAGGGGGGTCAGGAATTTAGGTAAGGCTTGTTTCTTTCCATGTTGTATTGGCTGGGAAGGCTTGACTAAAGCTAGAGAACCTAAGAGGGCCTCACTCACATGTTTGGGGCACCTCGGTCTCTTATGAGGCTTTTTTCTATCCATGTGATTTCTTATCATTTAGTAGTCTAACCCATATTTCTTGATATGGTGGCTGGTTTCCAAAAAGGAGAGAATGAAAGCTATGGGACCTCTTAAGGCCTAGCCCAAAAGTCACAAATTGCCACTTCCAATACATCTCTTGGTCAGAGCAAGTCACAGGTTCAGCTCAGATTTAAGAAGGAAAACAGACTCTACTGCTTGATGAGTGGCAAAGTCACATTGCAAAGGGGCATGCAGGATAGGAGAGATTGTTGCAGCTATATTTAGAAATGATTTTTCATACTTTTTACTATCTGATACTACTTAATTATGATGTCTCATAACTTAACATGACTGTTTCCACAGTATAAGAAAAACCAGAGAGAGGATTAAATACTTCACAAAAAGTCCTCTATTCATCTTTATGGTCTTACTTTATGCCTCTCAGAAGATACCTTTTTTCTTCAAACTTCCTCAGTAAATATGCACCCCCTATAACATGGGTGGTCATCACTCAAGAGCCACTCTCCTCCTTCTATCAGTGTAAGTCTTAGGATGCAAAACCTAGCAAAATATGAGTAAATCAATCTAGAAAGCACCTTGGAGGCACGGCCCTCAACAGAACTGTCTAGGCTGCACTTTAGAACCCTAAGTCCCGTTTTTAGCCTCCAGCCTGTGTGAAGTGGATATGCTTTCTCAGTCTTTTTTTTTTTTTTTAAGATTTTATTGGGGGAGGGGAACAGCGTTGGGGAATGGGGGAGGGAGAACAGAAAAGTTGCTGTCCTTTTTGTTCTTCAGTCTAGTTGTGGAGGACGTTGCTTCACTAGCTCATGTTGATATTATCATTGTACTCTTCTTGGGTGAGGCAGTCGCTTGCCAGCCATTGGACGGCAGCTCACGAAAGCGCAGGCCAGCTGCCAGCCAGCCCCACTGTAGCCTATGCCTTCGCCAGCCACTCACAGCAGCCCAGCTCCAGGTCGAGCTGTTGTTCACCATCTTAGCTGTAGAGGGTGCAGTGTCACTGGCCCTCATGTGGGATCCAAACTGGGACCCTGCTGCTCAGAGCTGGCGTTCCCAAGCCAACTCTTAACCAACACACCACTTGGCCGGCCCGCTTTCTCATTCTTTAAAGCCTTTCTTCCTCCAGCAAATAATTATTGGATCTTTTCTCCTTTTCTCCCTATGTCTGTCTTTCTCTCTCTCTCTCTCTCTCTCTCTCTCTCTCTCTCTCTCTCTCTCTCTCTCTCTATTATACACACACACACACACACACGTACACACATTCTTGAAGATACAACATCTGCTCTTTGAATAGCTAATATTCTTCATAAATATTGAAACTCTAACTAATAGAACCTGCAAAGGACCTATTCTATCCTCTTCTAGGCCAGTTTGTCTTCTTATTGACATGTTGACAGTACAGGGCCTGAGCTTAGACTTCACCTCTCCCTGCCATAGGCATCTGCCTGTACGTACCTTTGGAAGGGATCCTGTTAGGGATCCTGGCTTCTTTCCTGCCTCCTCCTCCTTAATAGTTACTAGTACTGATTTATGGCTGAAGGGATAGGAACTTCCCTTTAACCAACTCCATACACAAATCCATTTAGGATAAATTTTCCTAGAAGTATAAGGCATATGATGGTTAATTTTATATATCAACATGAATGGCCATGGGGATGCCTAGATTAAACATGATTCCTGGGTGTGAAGGTGTTTCTGGATGAGATTAGCATTTGAATCTGTGTAGATATTCAGCAAGAGCCATTTTTCTGAGACATTTCTGTATTCGTCTGAAGAAAATGATTTGTCCAAAGTTACCAAAAATGAGTGTTAAAGTTGGATAGGTTTTGAAAACACTCA